TTTACCATTCATTTAGCCACTTCTGAAGCTTTTGCTGTCTGTACATGTGTTCTGTCCGAACATTTTTCTGTGTGGAATTGAAAGCATGGTGTAAAGAATGTGTTCACACCCCAAACATTTAGTGCAAGAATTTTACTGAGCGTACTTGTGATATTAGATCATTAACCATTACCTTTTGTCTACGTCTCCTGTAGGTTCCACAGCAGAGGAGCCTGGCAGGGGAATGCGGGGGTTTACTCGAGATCCGACTCAGTTACAGGGCAACATACTTAAGACAGCACTTAGAAAAAGCCCCCAGGGCTTTGGATTCACCATTATTGGCGGAGACCGACCTGACGAGTTCCTCCAGGTCAAAAACGTCCTGCCAGATGGGCCTGCAGCACATGACAAGAAGATCGCCTCAGGTAACATTCCCCACAGACATAATGTTTTTTAAGTATCTGGTTCGCATGCTGTTTTAACAGTTGGAGACCACCCTGCTGTAATTTGTTTCCATAATGCAAGGTAATACAACTGTTTAAAAGCAAAGTCAACAAAATCCCGTGTCACATTCACGTGTACACGGGTAACTGTGCATGGCATTTAAACTTTATTCACGCAGTAACACTTAAGCTGGGCATTAGCATACATTCGGTACATAATACAGCTTAATGTGCCCTTTGCGTACACACAAATAAACACATTCGGAGGCAAAAAACCGAACAGGCACTTCACTCTGAATATCACATTGCTTGATCAAGCAAAGACAAATGTTTATAGGCAGTGTTCAGTGGAGCAGCTCGAAAAATAGAGAAGTCATCAATAAAGCCGCGTGCAGTTTATAGTAGACGCTCACATTTTATACGCACTCGTATATTAAAAATGTAATTAGCCTGCATACAGGCTGCGTGGCTGCAGGTTGACATGTGTGCTTATGTAAAAACAGGGGATGTATATGAGTCTGCCACGTAGTGTGTTTTGCAAGTGGCACAGTAAGTTCTTTATTATTGCATGTTCTAGTTCTGTGATCACATGCATGGTGAATGTATTCATTTGAAGTATGTTACTGTGTAATGCCTTAAGATTCACATTACCGTAGTATTGATTGCCAAGCCATTGCGGCTGCTGAGAATCAACTTAAGAGTGGAGCAAAGAGAGTAATTATTTTCAGTGTTTCATTTCCCTTGAGAAGGAGGGTAATTGACTATAACAAAAGATGAATGTAATTAATTTCATTGGGTTTTAATTGCAAGCAGTAGAGTGTAACATCTTCAAGTAGTTTTTTTTTGTTTTTTCATTTCTGAGTATTGGCCTACGGCATTTATTTATGCTGAAGGTTGAGTGTTTGAACTTTGTGAGAAAATATATTTCGCTTAGTTTTTTGGATATGGAGCTGTTGAACTAATCGTGAGAGCGGCATGTAGTTGGTCTGAACAAGCAACAAACTGGTATATGAAGCTCACTCACGAGAGTGAAAACTTAGCCTTTGTTTTTTCGAGGGTAAAGTATCGATTGTGTGGGTGGGCAATCCACCTCTGGGCATCTAGCCACCTAGCTAGTCAGCAATTCAGCTGCTTATCCAGACCTATATCTGGGGCAGGCCGGGGGTGATTAGAGTCTATCCTTTACAGTACATGGAGATAAAAGGGGGAAAAAGAAAACACGTCAATGACCTCGTTTTATTTTCTGTTCTCGCACACTCCCTCCTCCCCCGTTAACATGTTTTAATTTTTTAAGATATAGGAGTCTACTTATGTAATCCAATTGCATAATTGCGCTTATCACCGTGTCTTTTTAATGGTTTACGGTGTATTGTTGTAATAGTACTTTTCAAAATTTCCTTTGGCATGGTGATGAATACAAAAATGTAAATTTTGTCCAATTTATTCATGTCACAAATGTGTAAAAGCTTTTTGTTCTTCTTTAGGTGATGTAATTGTGGACATTAATGGGGCATGCGTGCTGGGAAAGACTCATGCTGATGTCGTGCAGATGTTCCAATCTATCCCAGTCAATCAGTATGTGGACATGATCCTGTGTCGGGGCTACCCTCTGCCAGAGGACACCAGCAATAGCGAGGAGGCATCGAGCAACCTCAGTGCCTCTAAGGACACTTCTCCTTCCCCTTCGACACCACAAGACCTCAATTATACCAACGATGGAGCGACCCTTTCTCGGCAGACTGCGTCAGTGCCACCTATGACCAACGGAGGTCGCCACCACCATCCTCATCCCCATCAACACCACCACCTTCCACATGCCCTTAATCAAGAAGGGCCTGACCCTACTCTATTACAGCCGGAGCTGGTGAGTGTGCCCTTGGTGAAAGGCCCGGGAGGTTTTGGCTTTGCTATAGCGGATTGCCCCCTGGGACAAAAGGTAAAGATGATCCTGGACGCCCAGTGGTGCCGCGGCTTGTTGAAAGGTGATGTTATCAAGGAGATCAACAGACAGAATGTCCAAACTTTGAGCCACTCGCAGGTGGTCGACATCCTCAAAGACCTGCCTGTGGGCAGTGAGGTCAACGTGCTGGTGCTTAGAGGAGGTGAGTCAGCAATGATGAAAGTTCACTTTGCTACTATTGTACTGTTGTCCACTGCTGCTGCAGGTAAGCCTGCAACACTGACATTATAGAAGGATATCACAGGTGGCGAGTTTACAGTACGTATGTTGTGACATCGCTGATGTCTATATTAATCTGCTGTTTAGACAAAATACAGGCGTTAGTGCTATTTAGACCCACGTTTCTGAAGTTACTTTAATCCTCACTCACCTTTACGCCACCTGTTCCATTTCTTTACCTTCTTTTGGCCAAAAGAAAACGCAGAGCGTAACAACAGAGTTGAACAGTCTGCTTCCATTTGTAAATAATTTCCTGCGAGAAAGTGAGACGTTGTCAAAAATATTTCAACTGTAGAAGAGGTGAGATTTAATGTAATGCACAATGTTTTAATTTAAAAATAACAGCACGCATTGTGGTGTTCAGTAGGTGTTGCTTGAATACACAGACTCTCCCAATGTTAAATAAAGCAATTTCACGCTCTGGTCTACACCAGCTCTGCATCATCCACCATGCACTTTCCCAAACAGGGAGGAAGTCATGCTTAGTCACATGATGAGCTATGCTAGGAAGGTGCAAATAGATGGCAGTTTTGGTGATTCACTTGCTGCCTGGAGAGAAAGTGAGAGGGGAGGCAGGAGTGATGGAGCACAGTGAATAATGATTGCCCTTCTTCTTACTTCATGCTTTCACAGATTCGAAGGGCTTGTTCCTTTATGCCTTTACTGCAGTGCAGTAGCCTAGATTCAAGAGATCAGTGTTGCACCCACATATCAGATGTGCACAGCTGGGGTCTACGTTGAGCTCCAGGGGGGTTGTAGTTTGTGTGTATGTGCGTATGCTGCTGTGCCAGCCTGATATGCATTTTTTAATTGCAGTGCATATGGAGGATTTGTGTGTTAATGTTTTAAAAAAGCAGATCATAGCTTTCCAGGACTAAAAGGAGTAGTGCCGCAGGGCTTCCCTCGGGTCACTCATGGACTGGGATTAGGTTAGGCTTTACTCCCAGCCGGCGGCTAGAACTTTCTTCTAATGACAGCAGAGCAGCGAGAAATGAAACAGGAAATTATTTGGCCTTGCTCCCCATACTGGATTTAAATCTGGAAATGAGACAAAGTGCCCTTCCCCATGGGTTGTGTTCTGAACTCAGTATCTGAGATATGATATGATCAGAGATTGTGAAAATGGAGATATTGCCACTGAATTTTTACATAATATTGGAAATGGGTGGGGGGACTAAATGTTTTTTTATTAAATCAATGCCAGTAATTGTCTGTATAATAAATTGATTTGATGAAAATTCAAATTTGAAAAGCTTCAGTGTTCATGCTGCTCTAGTAATGTAGCTAACAGCTGGCAGGTTTAAACCACAGAAATGCATGTTTTCCCATGGCTTAAGGTCATCTGTCTCTCATCCCATAAACCGTTCGTGCAACTGGAGTCTACTGCCCCCTACTGGTTTACTTACACTCTGGTTCACATTCTGCTCTGTGACCACGACCATGTCAGAGAGAACAAAAACAAAAGCCAAATCTGAAACCTACGAGCAAGTTCACCGTGTGAGTCGGTGGAGAAGAAGGTGCAGATTCTGCATAAGAACCGAGAGAGGCTTTAGTGTTGAGATTCAACCACTTCAGGTCAAAAGTTCATTAGAGTGAAGAAAATGCAAAAATGCAACTCGTCCTTAAATAATTGAATCTGATGTAAGCAGATGTTGGCAGATGTTTGCTGTTGTGTTGTTAATGACGTCACTTTAATTCCCACTTCTGTCTCTCTGCTCACAGGTCAGACGTCTCCAGTGAAGTCTCTGAAACCAGTAAGTTTTCTGTCGGTTCAAATCCATTTTGTGTGATGAAAAAAAAAAAATAGACTCTTCTGCTAAAACTGCTGATGAATTATTAAAGCAGAAAACTTTTGTCTTGGTTACCCGCAAGCCCCAGCGTGTAAACGTGTGCGTGCTGTAGTAGCTGCTGTTAGATGCATCATTCGGGGAGCCCACATTAGCCAGGCTGTTATTTCTGGAACTGCATGTGGGTAAATATGCTGGCTTCTGGCAAACGGAAACTTAGCATCCCTCTGTGTATGGGTGTTTAAGATGATATGCCATGTTCAACAGCTTGTTCCTCTGCTACTCCTCCATGATGCACTCTTAAAATAGAGAGCGTTGGGGCACCGACAGGCTTACTCATACTGTTTTATTTGTTCAACGCATAATTATTCAGATCTGTGTGGATGTACTATTTTCTTTTCTTTCACTTTATGCCGGCGAAGTAGTTTGTCACTCTGGACAAGCTTTAATGATTTTTTCCCTCCATTAGCTACCTTCCTACTTTAGACATAAATCATTGCTATAGTATAGAATACCTTCTATTAAATAACCTGCAGACATAATACAATGATGCTGAACACATTGGCAAAAAATATGTAATATATAATCCATTAGTTTAATGGATGATTGCCTTATAATGAGCTCGTGCTTTACCATCTTGTATATCACATTGCTTGTCTCTGTGTTGCAGTGCACAGGTCCCATGTCTCACGGAGCAGCCCAGCCTACTTCACACCAGGCACCTCATTCGGTGCCCCAACAAATGGTCCATCCGTTCCCTCAGCCCACGATGCAGCAGCAGAGGCAGGAGATGATCAGCAGCACAGAGACCCTAAGTCAGCCTGAGGCATCCCCCAATGCATCAACGTTCTCCTCCAGCACCCTGCGCTCAGCTTCACCCAAACCAGATGCATCTGAGCTCTACCTCAAGTCCAAGGCCATTCTTGACAGCAAGCGTAAGTACAAGAGTACTTATACTTACACAGTTTACAGTAGTAAACTTTACTACAGATGCAAATATTTATTTAATTCATTCATGTTTTTAATGTATTTTTTGGATTAGTGAAATTAACAAGTTACCGGTGTCAGTGCTGATTCAAACTGCTACTTTGTGATTCATTATTACACAAAGAAATCAAATCCTCAGATGTGCAATTAAAACCAGCTTACAGTCTTTTGCAAATGCTAACACACTTGTTACTGAATTTCGGGGACACAGAAGCCAAATACGACACAAAAAGACACAAACATCTTACTGCAATCAAAATAATACAGTCAAAGCATTTTTGAATCAAATCTGCGCACATGTACCATTTGAATTACTTATAGACCACAAACACAGACAAAAAGATTCTGCCAGCTCCTGTTAGCGTCTGACAACATCATCTCATTAACATCGCTAGCAGTGCCATCTCTGGCTCGGCAAGAGGGAAAATATTGCTCTAGAGTTTTCAAAAACAGTTGACCTAGTTTAGATTACTTAATCTCAGATTGCCTTGTGGTCAGCATGCGTTTTTCTTATGTATAGGTGTGTTGTTGCCCATGTCAAGTATCTAGGTGTTTTCCTGAAGGTCATGAGAGATTTCATTCATGCAGTTAATGAATATTTTTCATCACTTTTTACCAATTCTCTTTTCTTTTCTCTGTGCAGCTCCCAATACAAAGGACCTGGATGTATTCATCAAAAGGAATCAGGAATCAGGCTTTGGCTTTAGAGTCCTTGGGGGCGAGGGACCAGATCAGCCAGTAAGTCAGAGGCCAGCATCCATTTAAAAGTACTGTTGGAGACCCTCAGTCATAAGAGCAGCAGACTGACACCAAGTTGAAGCTGAATTCTGTTGATTTAATATTAACTGAAAGTTTCTTTTCCCATCTCTGGGAATGGTATTATGAAAATACCAGCCAGTCTGTGTCATGAATCTCCCTCAGATGTCTCTTACACCATCTTACTTCCACAGGTATATATTGGTGCCATTGTGCCACTCGGTGCAGCAGAGAAGGACGGGCGCTTGCGGGCAGGGGATGAGCTACTTTGTATAGATGGCGTGCCAGTCAAGGGCAAATCCCACAAACAAGTGCTGGAGCTGATGACCAATGCTGCTCGTAATGGCCAAGTCATGCTTACAGTCCGCAGGAAACTAGCATACACAGGTTGGTCTGCTTCTGAATAATCAGCTCCGCATTCCTCTGAGGGCACAGAAAGCGTGGCTTCTTGCTCACTCCTTTGGCTTATATAGGTATGCTAGAGGAGAACCTTTGAGGGAAAGCTTTGATCTGGATTTCTTTTTCCATTAATCCTTTAAATTCGTTGTGGTAGATTTTCTCTGACTGAAATGAAGTTTGTCAAAAATGGACTTTTAAGATGCTACGCTATGCTGTAGTTTTCCTGAAAGGAAAAAGAAGGAATTTTAAGGACGGTTAATTTATTTTAATCACAGGAGGTGAATTCCAGGTTTCGTCTTGAATCAAAATGGGCATAAAGTGGAAACAAGAAAAGAAGATTATTTGCTCTCTGTTTATCTGTCAAGGATGATTGCAGTTGTGTGAAAAAGCACTGAAGATTAGATCAGCTGGTAGAGTTAAATCTCAAAGGATGGAAAAAATGCTGACTCTTCTTTCTTTTTTCTTTTTTTTTTAACTGCACATATCCTGCTGCATCCTGGCTGGTTTACCCCACCGATAGCCATTCCATGAATAGAACAAGCACTTTTTGAAATTACTACAGATTTGATGTATCACAACAACAGCTTTGATCACATTGCAAAAAATTAAGCATCAATCATGTGAGGGTTTAAGCTTTCAAAGCAGGGGGCTTAGAAAGCGATTCACTGATGCTGGCTTGCAAAACAGAGACTCAGCAAAACAAACATACAATGAAGAGAGATGGAGGTTGCTTAGCTTGTCTTATGAATAACAAATTGGAAAGGCCTTTTATCTCAACTGTAGAGCTGACGGTCTTTCATTTAATGTGGGTGAGGCATGCTGCAGAAAGGCTTCTTTGATAAAGCTGCTTCTGCATTATTTACAGAAGGATCTCTGCAAGAGCAAATCAGAAAAATTTTGTCAAATAATTGTTATTGCTTTAAATTTATGTTAACTAAATCAGACTGCTCATACTTAACGTGTGTTGGTAGAATCATTCTGAAATGTTAATATATCGCATCTTTTTTAATCAGTCCTAGAAATGAAGTCCAAATTTGCTACAATGCTATGCATTTGTGTTTTAATATTTTTGTACCGTTTTTTTTGTTTGTTTGTTTGTTTTTTAAAGATGGTGGAGGAGAAGATGACAACAACCAGCAGCCGCAGCAGGTTGCATCTGCTTTGGTCAACAGCTCTCCCAAGATGCCTCGTAC